TACACTAAAGAGTAGCAGTACTTTGCTTAGTCAAAATAATATTTTTTCTCTTGAGGAAAACGAACAGAAGATGCTTGAATGGCTGACCACCACGCATGGGCAAGGGATGGGTCTTCAGAACTGGAAAGCCTTCAGAATTGTTCTCCATCTACAGGCATTGGCTCTGACGTTTTACTCCTGACAGATACAAGGACTTTGAGAAGGGTCAGGGACCTGGCAGACATGAGTAATATTTTCCTGTATCTCCAAGTAAAAATATAACGGACAGCCAACGCCTCTCTTGACTCAAATCTGTGCTGCTGACTTGCTCTTTCCTTGTGTCGCCCATCATGGTAAGGTAAGACATGGACCCTTTTTAGCACCTTGCTTGGAAAAACACAACAGGGAACACACCTGATTTACTTGAGAAACAGTCCACCACTTCTGACATTTGAAATTAGAAACCAAGTGTTATCTGGGTGTTCGAGTTTTGCTAGCATTGTGGGGTTTTTGGGGCAACCAATTAACAGCAGGTACTGAGATTGGCAAAGTGACAAAGAGCACTGACTGATGGTTATGGAGTCTGACTACTGATATGACTCTTAATAGTCCCTGTGTTTTCTCATGAGCCTTGGGTTAGTGCATGTTCTTGAGCCAGTGCAGGCCCAGAAAAAGAGGGTCTGAACTAGGTAGTGGGTATTTACCGAGAGACTGGATGGCAAGAATGGAAGAGCTGTGGAAGCCAGAGGCCAGTGCTGATGTTTCAGCAGGCAAGAACAGCATGGGCAACTGACAAAGAGCAAAACACCTCTGAAGAGCATAACCAGAAGAGCATTACCAGAAAGACCTGTCAAAAATGATGGAAAATCAGGGAACTAGCAGAAATCACAAGAATGAGCAGGACCACACACACACAATTTCTGGTGATGGCTGAACAGTCTTCCACACTGACCACCCCCAAATGGTATTGGAGGACCACAAAGCCCAAGAGCTGAGGGGTCTCCACAGTGACAGGACCTGGAATTTTCTCCACTGGGAGAAACAGCTGCCAAACTCTGCAAGCTTTGTTTGTCAGTGGAAGCTGATCTGACTAATTTGTAACAATACAGAGAACCTCTCTTCAGGAACCCAGCAGACAAGACTAGAGGAAAGATGTGGGGAAGAACAGATGCCTTCTGTAGACTCCACCCCATCTCTTCTGTCTGCTAGAATCCCCCAATACACAAGATATTTTGCATGTCTCAGGAGTGTACTGTCTCCATTTGCACCTTTTAAGGTCCTGCATAGTAGCACAAAGGGGATGGCGCAAGGAGCTTGTGGGAGACGAGAGAACTGAGCTATGGAAGGAAGAGACCCTCATCACTATTTCTGCCATCAATACATTGGGAAGGAAAGAAAAAGAGAATCCAAAACCCCAAACCCCACACTAAATTTCCACTTGTTCTTTCAGGCTGGCAGCCTAGAAGTTCATGAACTCAGAAGTACCTTGTTCTGGAGTAAACTGTTCTGAAAACAGTTTCCAATGGCTTCCCCAAGTTTTCTTTGCTGGTGACAGCCCTTCGGCTCCATGCTGGCACATGTATGAAGCTCTTTGAACAAGTTTTGACCTTCCTTTAGCCCCTCTGCCCATCAAGCCAGCTAATGACATGCTTTGTATTGCACAGAACACATACAATTGACAAGTTCATAGTGTTGTTTAAATATTAAACAGTCTAGACAGGCTTTGAGTCTTACGCCACTATGAAAAGGCTCAGACCATGCCCATCTTTGAAATTGGGCTGCGGGATCATTTGCACAGTAAGACAGACAATAAGACTTGTATACATTGCCATGCAACAGAAGAGACCCCGAACCGCCAGCCCTAAGTGGAAAGTTTATTTCTAAGCACAATATATGGAAAAACCAAACCAACAAACCCCACAGATATAGAAAACGTTGTAGCAAATCCCTGGTCAAGTAGGACTTCATGTCTGTCACTACCCTGCACCTCACAGCCGCTTAAAATGTCATGCAATGGAGGAGAGGGCACTCGGACGACACCCTCCGCTTCGGATCAAGGAGGATCTCCAAGCAGGAGAGGGCCGATGGGACTCCCGCTGAGTGATTCGGACTGTAACCAGCAAAAGGGCAGTGCTGCTCGCCCCCGCCACACGCTTTGTGACTACCGGTGGTAGACTTAGCACTTCAACAGGCTTTACCAACGTGGATTCTCACAACACCCCTGTGAGGTAGGTACGTATTGTTATTCCCCCTTTGTGTGGAGGGGGGACTGAGCCAAACAGCCCAAGGCTACAGAGTCGGTGGCAGAGCTGGAGTGAGAGTATGCAGAGTCCTGTGTGCTCAGAGTACTAGATCACACCACTCCTTCACAGCAAGTTGTGCTTCTGACCTCATAAACTTTTAGCTATTAGCCAAATTAAAGGAATTTGACTTCTCTATATTAAATGAGGGGAGGGCAGGGAGGGAAACAACATCATGTCTGACAGCTGTCCCTTCATCTGTGTATGCTTCCCCCTTCCCAAAACCACCATAATTACTCATCTCTTGGAATGAGGACAGCTTCCAGGGCAGGCATGGGGGTGAGAGGCTGCTGTGTTTGCCAGCTTTGGTCAGGTTTCTCTCTACTGTGGATCAGAAGCGGTTCTTCCAGACACCATTTGTTGCAACGCCTTCATTCTGGGGGTGGCCGCTTTTAGAGATGATTGGAATTGCCCCTTCCCTCACCCTCTGTCCACCAACATCCCTTCCCTCCCCTCTGCCAAAAGCACTCTTTGGTAGATAGTAAGATTGGTCAGATAAAGGTACAGTGGCTTCAGAAACCATGCTGTTTCACATGGGTCCTCATTAAGTCAGCTTTCTTGGCTGGTGTTTCACCTCCCACATTCTCTGCCAGAGAAGTACCTGTTCTGTTGCATTCTGATATTCAAAGGGACACTGTCAAGTAATCAAGGTGAAAAATACAACCTGCCTTAACATGATGCCCTCCATCTTCAGTGTTGCAGAATGGCTGGTGTGTTCAAACCCAGAGGCTGAAGTTAGACACCTTCTGTGGTCCAGAAACACCTGACCCAGGAGGGCCTAGCTGCCAAAGGAGCTGGTGGCTCGTGTTTGCCCTGGCTCCCATAGAAGCTGCGAGAGGTGCTGGTATGATGATGGAGGGCAGTTGGACACAGCCATTGTGCAACGTTGCTCAGCACTGCTGCTAAATGAATGCAGTTTGGCTGAAGTCCTTATCTTAATTTTGGGGCAAGCTGGGCTCAGGCTTGATCACTACAGGGTCATTGTTTGGGGATTGCTGAACTGTTGCTCCTCAATTAGCTAATCTCTGTATTTTTAGGGTTCCTGCTCTTACACTTCCTTTGTGGCAGTTGCACTGGCAAAACAGCTCAACCCTGTAGAGATGGGACATACCCTCCATAGAGCAAGGACAAGCAGGAAATCAGTAACATAGATTTCCTCCTGTCGTAGAAGAAAGGTGGGGGGGAGAAGGACAGGGTTGGTGAAAGGAATGGGTGAATGGAGAGAACGATACATGCCCAAATGGAAAAGGACAAAATCAATAGAAAAAAAATTATTTTCAAGCTTGTAAGAGAATATTACAAACAATGGAGAGTAAAAAAAGCCCAAACCCTAAAAACTATTTAAAAAGTACTTGACAGTGTCCCTTTAATATCCACAAATGATTCAGCCATTGTGCATTGAAAGAGAATGTTCCTGAAGAGCAACCGATACCTTCGAGGATATATCCCAGAGAAGGAGACTTATTAGAAGTGTTACATATTCGATCAGCAAGTGTGCTCCCTCTTCAGACTAACTCTCTCTTGAATGTTTGAATGGAATAGACCCTGTAATAAACTAACAGACTGGATCTGAAAGGCTCAGCCTACCAGACTGAGTGAGACTGTTGCAAATCAAGCAGCAGGGATACAGACACCAAAAAAAAAAAAAAAAAAGATGTACATCTCTAATGCATGAATGACCGAATTGGCAAGGAAGCAGAAACCCACCAAGATGGGTCAGCTTCTTGTGACTGGAGTAAAATGAAAGGAAATTAACCTGGAATGTCTGTATGGAAAATAATGTGGGTGGCAAGATTTGGATGCTGGATTTGGGGTTATGAAGGCATAAATCACACCAGTACTTGTGCTTGAAACACCTGCGGAGCGTTTGTACAAAATTTGACAAAAATGCCTATACGTCGAAAAAAGGTCATGGAGCGCCCTCCCCCCTCCCAATTCCATCCTCACAAACCCCTTGTCAGAAATATTATGCAAAAGCACAGGATTTTTTGTTTAAATTTGGGTATGCCTGGGTTTTGTTAGATTTTTCTTGGTGGGATAATTCAATCTCTCTCTCTGTAAATCAATACTGAAAAATCCCCAGCCATTTCACTTCAGGTATCCTATGGTAAATTGAACAAGGCTCCAGAGTGACTCATGGAACAAAACAACTCATAGCCCTGGTTAATCACAGTCTGGAAAATAAAAATACTCCAAATATTTTGTTCCCTTCCTTGTTTTTATAAATCTCACACTCTGTGTGCGTGTGTTTGTGTGCACATGCGTGTGTGTACCGGGGGGGTGTACAGAGCGTTACCTATTCCAGGTAATAGGAGTTGTAAGACGTGCTAAACCGTCTGTTCCTCTGCTTCCCCAGAACTCTGCCTACTCAGTTTGTAGTCTGTATTGCACTTGTTTTGTTGTTTTTTTTTGTGATTTGTGGTGTTGTTTTTTTTTCTTCTTTTTTTTCTTTTTTCTTTTTTTTGATTTTTAAACTGGCTGGAAACCATTAACCTCTTTAGCATGAGTGTGCAGCTCTCCCTCCACCTGCTTTTGTTTCCTCAGCTGGCCAGGTGCCGCCTCTTATATCTTGTGCAGTTACCAAAAAAGAAAAGGAGAGGAGGTAAAAAGGAAAAAAATAAAAAGAAAAGGAAAGAGAAAGAAAAAGGCACACCATGCTCCTCTGCTTTATGAGTTCTTTGTCTCCTCTGCTTCGTGTTAAGGCCTCCTGAATTCCTCGGCTCAGACCGTCGTGACCCTCATGACGAGCTCTCTGTTACTACTAGACTGACTCCTCTGTTCGTGAGGCCTCAGGTGGCTGAGTATATGCAGGATGGTGTAAGCACAGTGGTGGTCAGAGAGGGTGCCGGTGGCGTGGCCGGCAGCCCGTGCCCCGCTGTCGGCCGGAGCGGAGTTAGTGGCTGTACCACCAGTGGAGGACGAGTGGGTGGTTTGGGAGGAGGGGCGCTGATTTGTCCTGGTCCCTGTTTTTTGTTCCTCCATGTCCTTTGTTTTGTCATAGTTCAGCACTTTCCACTGCTGATTGACCGCCTGCCACCGTTTAAAAATCCGGTAAACCGAGGGCCCTTCGTGTATTATTAGACCTGGAGGGAAGGGGGAAAGAAATAAACATAAAACAGAAACAAAACTTTAGAAAGAACCATAAACCTACCCCAGCATCCTGCCCCCAGCTAGCTGGTTAGCTCAGCTCTCCCCTCAGGTTTATTCAATGATAAATCATGTATTTTAATTACCAACTGGCAGAGCACTGATGCTCCTGCTCTGCTGGATCCCTTTTCCCCTGAATTAAAAGAATTACGGCTTCATCTCAGCAATCAATAAACGGATTGTAAACGCAGCAGAATGAGTTATGCTCTTACAGCCAAACAGTATCTGTTTACCAATAAACACCTGAGGCTTACCTACCAGTGGACTAGTTTTGCATGCTGCATAGGCATGATTCACCAAGCTAACGGCGTGTGTTTGGCGGGGGTGTAGCTGGGTCTGACGTGCCGGTGACGTCCGCTGCACCAGCGTCATGTGTGTGCACAGCCTCAGTCTCTCCCCACTCACACCGCAGAAGAGCAGACACGCACATGGAGCCCAGAGCCGGCAACTGAGCGAAAAAGGGTCTGTCTATACCTGTAAATGGTTTGTCATCCCAGGCAGAGTTTTGCTCATCTGATGAGCAGCTACCTCATCATATGTCATTGCTTCCTTACAAGGGGAGAAAGCAATACGCTTGAAAGAAAGGGCAGAGGAGCTTACACAGCATGTAAGCTGAGTATGCACATAATGCATACATCCCGCTCCCATCTGCACATACCAGCACTGGTGCCCGGGGAATGGTGCTGGGCTGTAGGATACCTGACTTCTAATGGTCTCTGCATTTGGAAGAGAGCAAGTAGCTCAGGCCCTGCCACCCATCAGTGAGTTCACCTCCCAGCAGGCTCTGCCATCCTCCTCACCCTTGCAAGAGGACTGAAGAATTAGATAACAGAAGCTGTTTAGAAGATGATGGTACTTGAGCATTAAGCTCTGTTGTTATTCAAGCTGACAGGCTTTGGCTAGACCCTTTGAATGCACCAGAAACAGCAGTGACTGCGACGCTGTGCTGTTCTTCTCCAGTGAGGCTGGAGGAAGCTGCAACTGCTCATGTAGACTGGCTTTGCCAGCACACATGTAATTAACAAGCTTCACTAGAGAGTGGGATTTATGTAGAATGAAGGGGGGATCTGACTCTCCTCTTTTGTAGCAATCTGTCTGCTAGGAAAGTGCCTTTGTGCCCCAAGTAACTGAAGCCAGACCAGCAGGTAGGACACATACTGGGTGAGGGAGCACATGGATAGCTTCGTTGTTCTTAATAACGATGGCTTCACCATTCTTGGTCAGGATCAAGATTATCAGAAATGTTTCTAGGAAGAGCAGCTCTCTTGTCTACCTGCCACAAGCATATTAATGTAAGGACAAAGGACAAAAGACCCACAAGTAGTAAGAAGTAAAATCATGCCAAAACGAGGAGGTTGCTTCAACCAGCAATGTGTGGGAAGATGATGGTCACCACAGAATAAAATGGTTTACTACTATCCCTGATGGATCAAATGCGAGGGCTTTACCCTCCACCCAGCTTTTCCAGATTGTTCTAGTTTCTGATGTCAGGTAATTACTGGCATAAACGTGTGCTATATCAAACCCCAAAACATCTGAAGGTCATGCTACACTTAGAGCTGACCTCCCAGTTACTCACTGATGGGATGCAGCCACCTGGTTTATTAGGGTCTGCATCCGATTTTACAGAGTTTAAACTAGCTTCAGTACAGATTGAGTTTCTAGGCTCTCTGGTTCTAAGCAGAACTAGGAGGCCTCCTGACTTGATCACAGAATAGCTTCAGAGGGACTCTCACATTCATCATAATGGGGTGCTGAGCCTGCCCACTGTCTGTAGAAATAATTACATTATATAGTTTAAGTATTCAAATGTGGCTGTTTTGGGGCGGGGAATGGCATTGGGCACTACAGTACAAGAGAGATCTTTACTCTGGTTCCCACAGACCACTGAGATTGCACAGGCGTAATCCTGTAGTGATGCCGGCTTTTCATAACCAAATACCATGATGTCATAATAGAAAAATGTGTTTTTTCCTTCCTACTTTAAAATATGGTTGCAAATTCTGACATATTCTGATCAAAGCATCACCCATAAAAAGCAGGACTTAGGGAAAGCCTGCAGATCCAGCCAAGGAGACAGAGCTTTGAAGCAGGCCTGGAGTGGATCAGCCCATGACAAGGGACATTAGACATATATTTAAATGAGCTGTCTGATCTGTCGTGAATGAAATTCCACTCTGATCAACAACAGAGCCAATGTTTCTCTGAGACCACTTTAAGCCTTGGATAAAAGAACCGAAATCGAATGTTTTCTCCTTGGCTGCAGAACATTCTCCATAGAATCAAATCCGTTCTCCAAAGTATTAAACACTGAGCCAGGATTGTAAATCTATTCTTAATTACCTTATCACAAATATTTAATGCACAGCCTGATTCAAGAGGGCTGTTTATAAAATTCTTGTTTGTTTGCCTTCTAATTATAAATGTTTATGATCTTATGCAATTAACTGTGTGATGCTGATGGATGGGTTGCTGAGTCAACTGAGCACCTGTTTTCTTAGATAATTTTGGTTTCCAAATATTTATAAAAGTACAAAATAACTTGTTTTCCTCTGTATTTACTGGGCTTTAAATTACTTATCAATTTCCCAGTGTCAGGCTCAGGAAGCTGTAAAATTAAAAAGGAACCAAGTGGAGGGGTGGGCAGGGAGGCGGAAGTAACTGATTCATTTGCAAGAGTGAATGCCAAGAGTAAGCAAGAGTCCATCAGTTTATATCAAGCTGCAGGACGCTTAATGCTCCCATCGAAACAAATTTTGTCTGCCTGCAATAAATTAGGATTGGAATTCCTACGTTCAGCTCTGTGCACCCCTTTCCAGAAACACCCCTCCCTCGAGGATCATTCTTGTTTACAGAGGTGAAGCTTTCCAATTAAAGGCCAGACTTGAGTGGGAAATCCTTCAGGAAGAAATGTGTTCAGCTAGAAGCATCCAGCTAGAAGCAATTATTCCAAAAGCTAAATCCTGTATACATGGGGAAGACAGCAGGTTGGTGTGAACTTCTCACTTTGTGCACTTCTCTCTTTTGAACTCAGAAATGTCTATGTGAGAATTTCAAATGGATTCCGGTAGTGGCCTGATCCTTTTTCACTCCTCCCAAGTTTATCTCACCCTCTTCTGCTACACAAAATCTGTTCTCAATGGATCCTCTGTGAAAACCATCCTCTTCAGAAGCAAAATCTTTGTGAATTTCATCTAAATTTGTGTTGGTCCAGATTGTTGCCTGGTCCATGAAATCTCTTGTTTGTGGTGTTTGTGAAATGAAACTCCTGTGGAACATGGGCACTGAAGATGCGCTGTTCTCATTCCCGTTTTCTCATGTAGAGACCTGGTTGCACCAGCATCAGAAGAAATTCCTTGAACTGAAAATTGCTGAATGCTGGAAGAAGTATTCAGGGTAATTATAATATACACTTGTCTTGTTCTTATTTCGCTCTTGTGTCTGTTTGTGGCCATTAATGGAAACAGGGCAGCTGGCCATCCTTGCGTTCCTAAACATTTCTACTTGCACTGGCTTGTGCCATTAAAAGATTTCCCAGATGGCTCTGGACCTAGAGACAAGGAACAAGGACACCTGTGTTTGTGCCTCCAGATGGGCAAGGGGGGGTCAGCTGCGTGCCCCCATCCTGTGAGATTGACCTGAGTGGTTGTGAGCCGACAGTTTAAGGCAACTTTGGAGCAGCAGTTTCTCAGAAATGATGAGCTGCCCCTTCTGCACATTGTCACTCTCTGCCACCAAGTGATCTTTTCACCAGGACTTTCAGCCTCTAATTAAACTTACTTTTATTCCAACATTTGCCATGAATTTTCTTGAAAGAGACAGGTAAATTCTTGGGGCAGAAACTCTTTCTCGTTTGCAAACAAACCAGCAAAACAAGGCTTCTGCTGACATCATCTACCTAGACTTGTGCAAA